TGCCTTTCCTTTTAGTAAACATCCTTCTACTTTCCTTCTGAAAGTTAGGTAATCATTTTTTAAAAAAATGATTCCTTGGTAAGTATAGTATTAATATATGTGATTCAAAATCAAAATCCTTGTTTTCCCACTTAGGTGAAGGGGGTGTTGAGGGAGATGGCGACATCACCCGTCCTGAGAACATATCTGCCTTTCAGCAGTTTGTGCTGGACAACACAGATCAGAAAGGGGTGCATTTCTTAATGGCCGATGGGGTACGTTTTTTCCTCTGTCTTCCTTTTATCCTGTGGGTGTTATCTGCAGCTTACCTTTCATAGCATGCAGTGACATGCAGTCAAATTAGGAAAATAATCATAATACTAGCTTTCCTTTGCCAGCTACTTCATGGATCATTCTGTTTTATCCTGGAACTGGATTAATGAACTTGTGGAAATGAAATACACACACACACACACACACACACACACACACACACACACACGTTTACTGAATATCACCAAATTATATGTTATATGTGTCCTTGAGAAACTTTGATGTAACTATATAGCTGACCTTGTTGAATGTAGATACTGAGCCTCTATTTACAGTTAATAAAACATATTTTTATGTCCTAAGTGAAGCAAAACTCTTTGAGAGTTTTTTTGGCCAAGAGAAGGCCGTTTTGTGAAAGATCTGAGATGTAGTTGACCAATTTTATCTAGCTGCTATAATTATAAAATACCTTTGAATTGAACTTGATTCCTGGGATTATATGGACTTAATTATGCATAGTCAATCTATCCCAGAGGGCTATGCCTTTATTTAATAACGTAGCAAACTTGGGAGTCAAGAGCCTTTGAAACTCAATGAAAGGTCAATTATCATTTTCCTATTAATGTCCAAGTTCCAAAGGGCTCTCTAGAGGGAATAGGAATCTGAACTCCATCCTTTTCCTTTCCATAAATGCCTCACGTGTATAAGACCTGCCCTCTGTGAGAATAACCTTGGCCATTGAGCTAGACCAGATGTTGGCAACCTTAAACACTCAAAGAGCCACAAAGGTTCTAACTGGAAGCTCCTCATTCAATTCTGGAGCCAACCGGAAGTCCCTCACCATAGAGTCTCCTCTTAGCATCTTTTTTGTGGCATCTTTTTTCCTCTACCTGTCCTAACCGAAAACCCTATCAATTGTGGAGGTGGCCAGAAAACCCAGTCTCCTCCTGGCACACTATGCTCTACCCCCCCCCCCTCAAACCAGAAGCTCCTCTCAAAATTTTGGTGCCGACTGGGGACAGGCAGCCACAGCAGAGAGATGAAAGAGCCACATACGGCTCCAGAGCCACGGGTTGCTGACCCCTGAGCTAGACATTATTGAAAACTGATAGCAGAGGTTCCTTAAAAACTATTATAAAATAACCCCCAATCTACATACGGACAGCAACTCCCAGAATGTTCAGCAAGTATTGCCAAATATACAGAAAAATTGCAAGTATACAGAAAAATTAGATGAAAGGAAGAATATGATCCTTTATGAGCAACTTGACTTTGCAAAAAAGTAAAGTCCCCTCTGGGATGAAGGCAGCATGAAAAGCCACACACCCTGTGGTCTGCAGAAAAAGCGTTTCTCTGTGGAACTGTCCCTGGTGCCCAAAAGGTTGAGGACCATTGCTTTAGACAGATGATGCTTATCAGCCTATAACCAGGTAGAAGATACTTCGCTTCTGCTTTTGCTTTCTCTTCTGTTCTCTCCCTCCACCCCAAATATCTCAGTTGTAATTTGGTGCTATAATAAATGAAGGGAGCAGAAAAGCAACAAGCATATTGGTGGAGATAGATGAGAAAGTGGCAGCAATATTTTGCTCAATTGGCCAAGGTGAAACTTGGCACTCCAGAGAAGGACAAATTAGTTCTGAGGGTGGATTGGTTGGAAGATAGTGCTAAAAAACCTGAAGCGCCATTATTTTTTAATTATATAGATGGTGATATTAAACAATTATACATTTAACTTTGTTGTTTCAGGGCTTCTCAGTAGAAGGGCAGGAAAACATCCAAGAGATCTTAAGCAAACAGCTGACACTTTGTCAATTCCTCACAGGACTCTCTGTTATACGGACAGGTGCTGTCCCATTTTGCCTTACCTCTGTATTTTATCCTCCTCTGTGATTTTGGTGTTAGATATTCTCCAGTCTATTTTGTCTTTCTCTGTTTATGAAGCATTTCCCTTGAAAATATTTGTGCAGGCTTTGGACTATGAGTGACAAGGTGCTCCAGTTTGGGCTCTTTTTGTTTTTTGTTTATTTTTTTGTCATTGTGAATTGCTGTTTCTAAAATGTATTTAGATATATGTAGCAAGACAATAGAGACCTTTATAGTAATAGTGTTACATGGATGAATTGTGTGTCCATCACTACTTATGCCACAGCAAGCTGGATCATTTGTAGCTTCTGAATGTGTTCAAGGGTAGCCCCATGTAGAGTGCATTGCAGTAATCCAAATGAGAGCTGAATAAGATATGCCTGAACAGGGTTGCATGAAACAAGAAAGGGCACAATTGGAATAAGATGGATTTGTGCAATCCTAGCCATGACTATCACTAGATAATCAAGATCTTCACAGTTTAGTTTTTCAAGATGTCTGTGGGTAAGGCTTTACTGCTATGATAAATTATGTAGCAGATGGTTATCTAATAAAGCTTGTGACACAATGAGAGAACATACAGTTGGTTCTTTGATGAGCATAAACTCATTAAGGAGCTACAGCCAAAGCATCCTGTCTTGCTTTCATTTAGGTTTCAGAAAGATAAACTCAATTTCTTGATGGAAATATAGAATATAAAATAGTATGCGTTTTTCCCTTTTAATTGTTGTTTTCCCCCTCCAGGAGGGCACTTTCTCTGCAAAACCTTTGACTTATTCACACCATTCAGTATTGGCCTTGTGTATTTGTTGTATTGCTGCTTTGAACGTGTATCAATCTTCAAACCTGTGACAAGCCGTCCCGCCAATTCGGAAAGGTGAGAAGTGAGAAATGTGAAGGCAATTAATCTGCTTGAATGAGGAAACAAGTGATAAAATATTTGATGTAGTTGCAATCTTGACATGTGTTTTATGTCTGGTTTTGGCTGTTAATTTTCCATTCTTGGAATCAGAAAGCACTATACAAGACAGTTGGGGGGAGGCAAGGGGCACCAGATAAGATTTTTTAAAATTTAATATAATACTAAATTATAATATTATATTAGACAGATAAAGGAAGCAGTTAGCTTCCTCCCATAATTGGGGCATACCAGGGGTTGTGACACTAAATATATACCTTCCTCCCTGGCTTCTGCTGATAGGGAGGAGGGCCTGTGGCTTAATGGCTAAGACATCTGCCTAAGATGCAATATACCACAGGTTCGAATCCCAGTAAGGGTATGGCTAGCTGATGAGAGCTAAATAGCTTGAAATAGATCTATACTAGTCTCCCTTTATTTATTTATCAGCACAAATATAACACACACACACACACACACACACACACACACACACAGTAATCATTTAGGAAATGTTTGAATCAGCTACAATAACTTAACATTGGTGGCATATTAAAGTATGAATGGAACAAAGCTACTATAATCTACAATTAATCAAAGCTCATTGTTCATGCAGTTTCTTTTCTGTCACTTGCAAATAGTTTGGAAAAATAGCAACTTCAGGGAAAGCATTAGACAATTCTGGATCCATTGTCCTCCAAAAGCTCTAGACTACAGGAAATACTGTACCATTCTAATTGCATGATCTATGTTTCTTCACAAGCATATATGCATTAGTTTTCCTTATAATGTAGTAAAAGGTATTAGTTATTGTGTAAAAAACTCAAACCCACAAAAAACGAGGAAAAAAGTATTTTGTGTCTCTACAGGTATGTGGTATGCCGTGGTTTAAAAACTGGAATTGAAGAAGTGAGGGACTATCTTTTCACAGTGAACATGAAAATCAACCAGCTACGCAACTCTGACCAAGATGTTAATCTTGTTGTTCCTTTGGAAGTAATCAGAGGCGATCATGATTTCTATGACTACATGATCCGCTCAAATAAAAGGTGAGTTAATACATTGAGAAAAAAAAAACCATCTGCAGGAAAAAATAAAGGATTTGCCCTTGCACTCTTTTTGCTAGTGATTTTACCAAGTTATTTTTACTATCTGAAAATTATCAGTTACTTCCCTGAATATCTTTTTAAATTTAATAGTTTACATAAGAACATACTTTATAAGATACTTTTTTCTTTTTCATCCATGTGTTTGTTGTTAAAATACTGAAATGCACAGAGGAAAAAAACCAAATAATAAAATGCAAGGAAAGTTAGAAAAGAAATATGATATGAAGAAGACTCAATGTCTGAATTTTAAAACATAGTGGAAAAAGATAAACACTTTTTAATTACATATTTTCCCATCCCCTTCTATTTTTAACCCTAACTGCTGGATTAAATAGTAGAACTTTACACCCAGCATTAGTAGATGTTAGCTTCTATTGAAGCCCTGAAAACCATATTTCAGGTATCCAGATTTGCTTTGCTTTGTGACATATTCTACATAAGGGAATCCTCCTGCTTGAATTAATTAAACTCCTATTGTGAATATGCTCCCAATTGCAGCATTTTCTTCAATTTTAGATATCATAGGCAAGATATCTCTTTTCCAAGATTCATTATTTTTTTCTTAAACCAAAGTAGCTAAATCATTGTTTATGTTTGGCAAAGGCACGTGATGAAATAGAATATTATATTAAATTCCTTACCTACTGAGGCCCAGCTACCACAAGGTTTTGGGAGGTTGATTGTGTCCCCTATTCTGCAGTAGGTTAGTGCACACTTGAAAACGATTTGAAAGAAATGCTTCAAACACCCCTCTGCACTCATGTGAATAGAACTTTTTAAATAGTCTTTTAGTCTTCTGTAGCCAAATCTTCTTTCATGCTTCTGTGACAGCCCAAAGAGAGGTTCTGCTTTAATGAATAACAGAGAGATTATTTTGGTGCCTAAAGCATTGGTTTCAGATCTTTGGAGGGGTAGACATCTCTGTTGTGCAAATGAAACAAAATGTTAAAAAGTTATGATATTTATGTAGTTACTTACCAAGCACATCTAAATGATATTAAAGTAACCAAATGTTTTGAGGACTCCTAGTGTTTGGAAATTGGAAGTTGAAAAATTTGACCACCCATTTAAAATGTGCAGTAATATTATAGATAAGCGATCCAGTAATCACTGAATTTCACCCAGTGAAAAATATCATGAGCAAAATGTGTAAATGAAATACGCTTCATTTTCTAACAATATCAGTGCGATTCATTAAAATGTGGTACAAATCTACATTTTTTATTTTTGTTCTGCCTCTTATTTTTTAATCCATATTTTGATTCATAAAACTTTCATTTAACAAGTTCCTCTGAATGCTCTAGAATAGACCTGTTTTCTCTTGCAGATTCTGTGCTGTTCAGATTAAAGCCCTGGCCAAAATTCATGCCTTTGTTCAAGACACGTAAGTAGATTTGATATTTTCAAAGTGTTCTACAAAACTATACTTAAGGATTTTACTGGAATTTAATGTGTAGATTCTTTGAGATGCATAGTTAGTCTCATGAATGTAATCTTCATTGGTAGTGGTAAGGTACAAATTTAGCCGTGATATGATTACAGTGAGACTGATTTAGAGTAAATTTAGTAGGATTTTATTGTCTTTCAAGTCACTGGGCCCTACCTAGTGTGTTGTCACTAAATTTGTCCTATTGATTTTCCTTCGGTAGAAGCAGTGTTTTTTATGGCCCAAATCTGTAATATGGTAGGTTGGCTTTTTCTTATTTGAGCTACTATAGATTGAGTTTTTTTTCAAAAGCAAGAATGCCATACTAGTAGGGAAACAAATTTATATGTGTGGCAGCATTGGGTTTCAAAAATTACAGGTAGTCCTCAAATTACAATCATAATGAAGTCAGCCCATCATGGTTGTAAGTCATGATGGTTGTAAAATGTGGCTGTGTTGTCAAGTGTCCATAGTTCAGTCATGTTACTGTGTGTATGTGTGTGTCTGTCTGCTGGAAGTTTGAATCTGGGTTATAAATAGCCCCAATGCAGGTCTGTTATAACTTAGAGTGGTTGTTAAGCGACCCGTTGTATGTTGAGGATACCTGTATTGTTTTTTATGTGTTATCTATTCATAAGATCACTCAATTCAAGCAATGTGCTCAGTGACTAGATGAATGGATAGTAATAAGTTATCATTGAGTAGATGGGATAAAAAGAACCTCAAGTACCTTTTTGATGGAAGATTTAGATACTTATATATTCTTTTAGGACTTTGAATGAAGCACGTCAGGCTGATATCCGAAAAGAATGCCTCCGACTTTGGGGGGTAAGTAAGACAAAGAAGCAAAATATTACACCCACCGTATTTTGTGGTTCCCAACTTTCTTAATATAAGAACTAGGTTTCTGCAGTCCAAATAAGAACCTCATATATTCTCTGTCAGAAAGGATTCTTTTGTCTTTAGAAGGTCAAGAGGTATGCTCAGGATGACTCTTCAAAACCATCAAAAAATTGATGTCAATTTTTAATAACATTGAAGGTGCAAATTGACATAGTTTGGCATAATTTATGATTTTGTTAAACTAGTTGTATTGTCTTCATCCATCTGACACAATCCTCCTTAATATGTCTGAAACACAGCTGGAAGTTACTATTTTACAGGTGAAGTCTCATCCTTTTGTGAGTTAGTCTTCTTTTCACTCCTATCACTGCAGAGTAGACTTGGGAAGTTAAAATGATAGCATTTCATCTCCGAATTGAAAATCCTGTGTCTTCCTCAGATGGCAGGTGACTAGTTTCTGTGAGAGTAAGAGTTCTTTTTTATAAAAAGCGCAGAATTGAGATTGCAATTTCTTGTTCCTGGAACTCTGGATGGGTTGTCGGCATTCAGTGTTGAGGAAGAAAAACTGCTGACTGGCCCAGTTGATTGGAAGGATGAAGGAGAGTTGGAACACTCTCGCCTTGTTTTTAGAAGAAAGGAAACCAGAATATAATTGCTATCTAAATTATCCCATGAATATAATCACAAAACTTTTGACATCCTGAATGATGCAGGTGTTATAGTAACAGTGTTGTCACACAATTAAAACATGTATATTATAAGCGAGGAATCATAATACAGTGTTTTCTTGGCTAATTATCCCAAAGTATTTTTTTTAAATATTGTTATGATATCTCCAAATAGAGATTGATAGATGAGAATTTGCAAGGATCTCTGAAAAATTTTAGGTTTGTAATCTTTTATATAAGGGTATTTTTTTCAAATATAATAAATATTCGTTGAAATTACAGAGTAGATAATGCAATAGAATTAAATATAGTTTATTGCTAACAATTGAAGGGAACTAATAGTTTCATTGCAGGTTGGTTTCTCTGTGTGGATCTTGGATTTGGGGGATTTTTATTGCAGCATGTTTTATAGGCTAATAATGTATTGTATGAAAAGTATTTCAGTGATTTGAAAAGGAACTCACATTCTCATTCACGTTTAAATGAACTGCCTAATTCTTTTGGATAATTTGCAGGCATGGACAAAGGCCACATGGGTATCTTATTATAACAGAAAATCCCCACTGTTCTTTGTGTGGGATTCATGAGGAAGGAGGATTGAGAAGATAAAAGTATATGTGGAAAAAGAATATTTTGATTCAACAATAGCATCTACAAGAATAAAATTGTCTGATTTTTTTTCCTTTATAGTAAAATGCCGTGCTTTTTTCTCTTACATAATACAAAAATCAGGGAAATGTAGGCAATTTATAATTTTAAACTAACGAAATTTCTAATCTTTCTAGATTCCAGACCAAGCCCGAATTGCTCCATCCTCTTCTGATCCCTTGTCCAAATTCTATGAACTAACTCAGGTAAGAACTTTTTCCCCATTTTCTGTGTCGAGATATTCAGATGACATTCATGCCCTGTATGGTGCCATTCATAGAAAGCAAAGATTAAAAAAATTACCTGGCCAGACTTAATGTCAGTTGCTCTTTGGTTTACATTCTTGTAAAGCTGCTGGCTTGAAATGCACTGTGAAAGGCTTTCATTAGACACTATGGTTAGAAGCCATTGGTTGAGCCTTTTCTAAAACTAGGAAAAGGGATATATAAAGTGGGAACAAGCTTCATGGAAGTTACTTTATGCTAAGATAGGTAGGCTGATAAGCATTTATCGTGCTGATAGCCTCTGAAGGTAACACATTGTGATATCTCAGTACATAAAGCATAGTAATGTATTTTAATCCCAGTTGTAGATTTAGCCCTTTACTTCCCTCAATTTAGTCTCTTTCAGATACTCTCATTATGCTTGGTCACCATGCTCAGTAGACGTGACTGATGAAAGTTACAGATCAGATCTCTGGAGGTCACCATATTGAAATAAATCGTGGAATTCTCTTTCTTTCTGTCTCTTTCAATTTTGCTTTAGGGTACTAACATAGAGATCTTTAGTTATAAATCAACTCCTCTCAACTCAAAAACTTTGCACAAAATTCGACCCGTGCTGGATTACAGATGCATGGTATCGGGAAATGAGCAGAAGTTCCTTCTGTCATTAGGGGTATGTGATAATTAAACATATTGGTTAATATCAGTAGGTGAAATAGTATGTTTTAAGTAACAGCGAATTTGTTTAGATTAGGTATATTTTTCTTTCTGGTTGTCCAGGCAGTCGCCAGGAGTCCACACTGACTCAAAGACACACAAAACAAACAAAAAGTTACCAAGTTGATAGTATGACTGGTGGATTTTCCTTGTCATTTTGAAGACAAATTAAAATACCTCTGCTTATTTGATTGACTTTTGGTTATAATAATTAATATTTCTTATGTTGTCACATTTTTGGGAATAGCTAGAGAGGCTTGTTAAGTAAACTGAATGTTTAATGTCTTCCCTAATATCTCTTCCATATCCTTCTTAAAACATCATCCTACTTTGGATGCATATTTCTCTCACCTGTTATACTACAAACTGCTTGAGAGCAGATGGTTTCTTTGGTGGGCTGCTTCTGCCTCTAATCCGGCTACCTTCTTTTTTGCTTTTATGTAGAAGTCTCAGATATACACTTGGCTTGGTCGCCAATCGGATCGCTGGACCAAACTGGAATTGAAGATAGAACTGCCACGGGATACACTTCTTTGTGTGGAAATTGTTCCTGAGCTGAAAGGAGAGGTCGGTGACCTTCAGAGTTGTTTTCTTTCGAAAATGTTTTGCCCCGTTTCCTTCCCTGAACAGTGCGATGGATGAAAAGATAGGGGAGGGAGAGCAAAGTCATAGTCCCTAATCAATCTTTCTGCTGGCCCCATTTATAACCACTGTGCAGCTCCCAGTAAATTGCTCCTCAGGATATCTAGCCCTTGACAGAAAAAAAGATTCCTTATGTTTGGCTAGGAGTTTCTCAGCCTCAGCAACATTAAAATGCATAGACCGCTAGGAACTAAGGGAAATCCACGTATCTTAAAAATTACTGAGGGTGAGAAACACTGGCCAAAAGTAGAGTAACTGTGGCCGCAGTAGCAAAAAAGTAATGACAATGTTTCTTCTGAATGATGTAGGAAAAAACACATAAAGCCTGTAGTATAATCCCTAAAATAAGCACCACATAGTTGAAATACAGAGGGAGAGAAAAGCTCAGTTATGCATCTTATCTCTAGGCCAAACAGGTGAGGCGGTTGAAGTGTTGACCCAGTGGCTGGAGGCTGAACAGATTCAGATTGCATACTTCCAAGGCAGAGTGACTTTGCATTTGCAGGCATGATAATTCTAGAGAAATAATGTTGTTGGCTCTAAGCGTGTCTGCAAATCCAAAACCACACCATAAAATAAAACATCAATAAAAGGGAAAAATCCCCAAGAATATATAAAAGTCAGTCAGAAGATAAAATTGCTTTTGACCTTAAGGTTCATAAAAGAGAAGGTAGTGGGGAGAAATTTATAGGGCTACCTTTCAATTAAAAATTGTCCTATTTAATCTCACTGAAATAAACAGTGAGATTGAATGCAAGTGGATCTCACTTAGCAACTGGCTCACACAGCAACTGTTAGCAATTATGACAGTGATGGAAAAATAACTTTACAAATCCTTGCATTTATGAATTTTGCAGGTCTGTAAAGAAAAAAAACAACAACCCCAAAGTAAGATTAAGCATTGTTACGATTTCGCTTAATGACTGAATTTCTGATCCCAACTTACTGCAATCTGTTCTGAGTATTTTCCAGCTCTCCATCCCTCTGGCTGAAAATCTGATATTGGTCCAAATTGAAACAGACTAAATTTTAGATTCAGCCACCTACGGTTGCTTAAAAAAGTGAGAGGTGCAGCATATACATTTAATAAATAAACTGTGGTCACTCATGAGGACTACCACTATATGCAGATATGCAGATTTTTTTACAAGGAATAGCACTTTGAGATGTTCCTAATTTCCTTTCTTTCTAGGGCAAAGCCCAGCGAAAAATCAACGCCATCCACATCCTGGACGCTTTGGTGCTGAATGGCAGTAATGTTAGAGAGCAGCATTTCAATCAGCGGTAAGTAGAGTTTGGATAGATCTTTACATAAATATTTTTGTGGGATAGTGGAGCTCCTTTTAACTTTTCATCTGCACTGTTGAAGACCGTTCTTCAGATCAATATTAGAAGCAGACCTTTGTGTTTTCTTTTTGTCCACTTTATCAAAGAAGAGATGCCTGTAGGAAAGAAGACTAGGTAACAACTAATCACTTTTTCTTCAGAAGAGGCCTGAATTATTAAATCCAATCATTTTTTTATGTTTGTTTTGGGAATATCTGCGCAGCAGACACTGCAGAAAAATCTTATATAAGTTCTACTAATTGTCATTTCCAATATCGTACCATGTATAAATCTCTCTTTCTGATTGCAGAATTCAGTTGGCAGAAAAGTTTGTGAAAGCTGTCTCTAAACCTAGCCGCCCAGATATGAGTCCCATCAGGTGAACAAGTCCTCTTGGATTCTTCTTGGCTTTGAGGTTATGAGGATGAAGTATAATGAATAGAGTTTTGACATGTTCTATTGCCGTTGGACAATGACGAAGGGTAGAGGTGGGGTTGGCCTGCTGAGAAAGCTTTTTCAGTTCACTTTGGGAGGACTTTTTCACATTGGGAATAAACTGGAAGAGAGACTGAAGACGGTCTATATAAATTCCATGGCAAAGAGGAAGGCTAAATGGAGACCACAGCCTGTTCATCACTAAGAGCCGCCTTAGAAGCAGCTCTTAGAAGAGCAGATTATATCAAGTAAAGCTTTTTAAAGAAAGCATATTTGGTGTAGTGGTTAAAACATCAGGCTTGAAACTGGGTGAGTTCTAGTCCCACCTTAGACACAAAGCCAGCTGTGTGACCTTGGATCAGTCCATCTCTCTCAACCCCTGGAAGCAGGCAGTGAAAACTACTTCCGAAAAATCTTTGCCAAGGACATTACAATGATGTGTCAAGGCACTTGCAGTCCCCACTGACCATAAAGCATCTCCCCCAAAAGCAAGCCTAGGTTGTGATTTTTAGCATATACTGTACAATACTTGCTGGAACAGAATTTCAAAAAGCCAGTTTTAATTTTCTGTACACGAATAATTCTGCATTTTTCTGTTTAGCAACAATTTATAACAATTTGTTTCATGCTCAGCAGAAAGACTTTGCTATCTGGAATTACCAACTGAATTGGTGTTGTTGCATCCAGAAATGTTTAGATCTATAGATTCAATTCTATAATGATCTTGATTTAATGAAAAAATATTTAAAAACCATGTGCAGTTACTCTTTGTGGTTTACTATATATTGTTTTTTTAGTCTTTTTCAATATTTTCTCTTTAATCATGAAGGCTGCAGTTTTTCCTTTTTTTTGTGGGGTCATCATATGCTTAAAGGGCAAGGTATTACAAATATTCAGCAAAAGTTCCATAGCTTGTTCCCAACTCTGTCTAGAAGGGGGCTATAGGAAGTCTAGAGACAGTTAAAGGTTGGAGCTTACTTATCTAGCTTACTGATTTTTTTCCCCACAGAGTGAAGGAAGTGTACAGGCTAGAGGATATGGAAAAGATCTTTCTGAGGTAAGTCCTCAGAATTTTTTTTAAAAACGTAATTTAATTTTCAGATTGAAAACTCAGAATTCTGGTACTGTTTGGGAAAGCAGTATTATTAAGGTTTGATTGACCAGCCTGCCAGATTAAAAGAAACCGTATAGAGTGTGTATTGGAAGGAAAATCATTTATTCCTTGTTGCCAAATCAATAGGGTTAAAAAAACAACCACAGTGTGGTATGATGATGTCACTTTTGCCTAAAACAAGAGTAGAATAGATACTTATCTATTGGAAAAAATGTCTGTTTTTTTTAAAAAAAATCAGTTTAATCTGGATGCAGTCCAGAGGTGGTATTTAGCAGGTTCTGACCAGTTCTGGAGAACTGGTAGTGGAAATTTTCAGCAGTTCGGAGAACCGGTAAAT